GCTTTGCTTGTTTTGGTATGTGGAAACCGTGCTCAGTACTTTTCCTCGCCCTTCAGTTACACTCTATATAGTGGCCGCGCCATAGCTCAAGTGGTTAGTCGCTGGCTTCCCACCGCGGCGGCCCGGCTTCGATCCCGGGGTCTACTCGAGTGGGATTTGCGGTGGACAAAGTGGAGCTGGGGCAGGTTTTCTTCGAGTACTTCGGTTTCCCTTGCCAATCTTCATTCCACCAATTGCTCCACAACCACCCTCACCTATCATCTGGGGCTGGTACAATAGACCAGAAGCGGCCGCAGTAAGAGGGACTTACTCCCACCCCACTAGCAATAAAAAAATACTTTTAACTTTATGTAGAAACGTTATGTCTTAGATATTTTATATGTTTTATTCATATATGAAAATTATACAAGTTTCCAATAATATCTGAAGATGGTAATTAATGATTGAAACATGTTGGGGTTTTAATAGTATTTAATCAAGATAATAAAATAGAATTGATATTGAAGACTGATTTTACGTCTTATTTAAACAAAATGTTGAAATTTGTCTGTACGAAACGTATCAAAACTTGCACTAAACTTGACCGGACTTAACAAACTTGTTTTTGAGAGAGAGATTGCTCGTTTCGTTAAACACTTTTCCTGAAAGTCGAGAGTTTATTCAATATTCATTAATATAAACCTGATTTAGGCCGATCACAGTGACCGCGACGTCTAAGGCATGAACAGTCTTCGCTCGCTCGAACGCTGGGATCGTGGGTTCGAATCCTACTGAAAGCATGGATATCTGTGTTTGTTTTGCTCTGTGTATAGGAAGCGGCTTTGCGACAGGCTGAATCGTCCAAGGAATTCTTACCTTTTGTGTAAAAAGGATTACGAAAGTGAAGAGTAGGTCAGCCTTGATGAATGAATGAAGGCATAAATGAATAAAACTTGATATAACTGTAATTTAAACACAATTAAACCCTCTAACGCAAAGACCCCTATGCCTCTAACACTAAAGAGCTCTAAATTTTGTTTACAGATCGTATTTATGAAGTTCTTAAGACCCACAAAATAAATAATGATTATTCCCTAAGCAACTTTAACTGGTTAATCTTATAAAGGAAAAGCAGTGTTTTTTCTGTGAAAAACGAACTGAATTTTTAAATATTATTTATGTAAATTTGACACTTAAAGGGTAAGAAAATACAAACACAATCCTTACAGGAGAAAATCATTAGTTTTTTTATGAACCTTAGTCAAATTTTCACAAACCTCAAAACTGCCGGAAGTGAGTAGACAGCATCACGCCACGCCCACTGTATAGGAGGTCGAAACGTGGTAATGAAGAGAAAATCCCTCGCCTTGAATGCAACAGACTCTTCCGACGTCCCGCCCTTAAAAGAATGAAAATGAAACAAGAGGTTACTGTATAAATACTCTCTGATATAGAAAATTACAGACATTGTCACAATTAGGTCCAGTTTATATTTAAGAAACATATTCTGTTATGTAAACCTCACCATCATCACAAGACTCCCAGTTTGGGCGCTATTCTGAGACGGGTTCAGTCCAGTTATCATTTACATCCCTTGTTTCCCAAAGGCTAATTATGACATCACTCTGACTTGGGGTCTCCCAACGCGAATCATAAGCAGTGACATATTCTTGCTGCACAGGAACTACTGAGTCAGTCAGCGCCGAGACATAAGATGGCCTTTGGATCAGAGACCAAAAATCGCTGGACTAGAGAGCTCAGGACTAAAGGATCACATGACTAGAACACCAGTAACAACTGTTCACTAGACTAGACAGCTGAGAACAAAAGGATCAATAAGAGCAATGATTCGAAGGCATCACTGGACTAGAGAGCTGTTCTCAAAGTCTCTGTATTAAAGGTTCAAGACCAAAGGGAGCCTCTGGACTAGAGCGTTGAGGTCACGTTGTCAGAGGAAGACTGCGTCGAGGCGGACTCAACTCGAGGGGTTGACTGAATTAAAGGCCTGAAATCGAAGGGGACTGATGGACTAAGTGGGTTAGTGGACTAGAATGTTCAGGCACGAGGGGATTGTTTATTAGAAAACCAAGACTCAAGAAAAACACTGGATTAGGCCGCTAAGACGTGATGGAACCACTGAAAATAAACGGCAATGACTCAAACGTATCATTGGAGAGCAAAGCTGGCGCTCGGGCAAGTCTATGAAATTAAGCGATGAGGTCTTTTTTTTGGAAGCAGGGATGAAGAATTTTTAAATGTTGGCACTGGCTGTAAATGCGTGGTTAGCGTCACGTTTCGGAAGCTTTATCCCCAAATGAATAGCCCTGCGTATGGGTGTGCTTTAGAGCCATTCTGGACTCTGCTCCTGCCAGGAACTGAAACCCGATTACACGGTCGTCCAGACGGTACCCTAGTCATTACACACTGAGCTACCCGGCTTATATATAAAATTGTAATAGGCCTATACGTAGGGTAAAAAGCGTCCGGATGCAGTCTAAATTTAATTATTATTTAAATTATTATTTAAGATAATATGTTAAGAAAGTCATTATAGATTCTAGAAGGAAAGACAAATATACGGAAAGTGTAGGCATAAATATACGCGAGTGAAATTTGGTAGATTTTCATGTCACTAACTGAAATAATAATATTATTAGAAAAAATTAGAAATTTCCGAAGTTGTAACCATAAGAAAATTAATTATATGTTCAGTATAAACTGTTTACAACGATTTTTCTCTAAGAGATCATATAATATTCCTATACAGATGAACTTCTGGAAATGTTTCTTCATATTTTAACAATCAGACTGCCTCTCCGAATGCGTCAAAATGACAATGTACTGGACATTCAAACACAACATTATGAGTTGCGTAAGTGTATCCGAAAACGGTAGTTGCAGTCTTCGCCGGATATGCAGCGACGAAGGGGAATAGCTTTGTCCCCCCTCATCCACTTCTCTTTTCTTTGAAACGACGCCAAAGTAAAACACACATGCGCATGGCGTGGCGTCCCGTATTTGTATGTGTGTGTGAGTGTATTCAGAGACAGGAGGGGAGAAAGAATGGTTCTCCTCCCTAATCCGCCACCGCGACGCCCTCTTCGGTGGTCCACAATCAGACGACGCTGAGCGTCGCTATCAGATAGGCGTACAGGCTCGCATGGCAGAACATCGGTCCCTATTTCATATTAGATACTGCTATGATGTCCGTTTTGTACAAGCTGTGTGCGGGCAAGACCTATCATTTATGACGTCCGCCTGCCTGCATATTCTTTCAAACCTATGTAGATCATAACTTAAATTTCTAGGATTACTTATCGAGAACAACAGCTGGGGACGTAATTTAGGGAAGGTATGGGGGAATGGGGCCGGTCACGGTAGCCGAGCGGTCTAAGGTATGTACTGTCTTCGCTCGCTTGGAAACCGAATCCCACTCAGGGCATGGATGTTTAGTTTGTTTGTGTGAGTTCTTTTTTTTTTTGTGCTAATCACCCGCCCAATTAGTCCTACTGAATGTGTAAGATCTAGAAAAACCGAAGTGAACGGAGAAGTTCATGGAGGTAGGCCTAAGCCCACTGGGGCTGTAGTGCCAAGGGAAAAATTATTTGCCAATAAGAGGATGTTGGGTTTACACCGATCTACTTGCCTTTATTAATCCCGTAGCCAAAGACTGGAACACGCAAGATATACGCAAATTTGGAAATAGTGTGGCGACTGTGTGCTTTCAAACCTATTAAACCTGACCATGGAAAGTTTAAAGGCCGCGTACCCCTCTCACGTTGCAAACACATTACAAGTTTCAAGCATGTAATCTATCTTAATACCTGCGCCCGGCGTGTTAAGAATAATTCTCATGCAGAAGGTTATCTTGCAGCTGACATCGGGTGCTTTCGCGTTACAAAGGGTGAGAAAGTATAGTTTCCCAATTCCTTTGTAAATATGCAATCGTAAAACAGCTACGTTCCTAAAAGAAGCAAGAGATTTCAAATTCTGGCCTACGTGTTTAGAAAATCACTTGGTGTGGAATTTGGAGTCTGAGATCAGTATAGAAACCGACATCTTTAGGAAATTTATAGAGTTTGTGAGTCCATAAATATGCCTACTAGCTTGAAAGCACACATTGTAATTCGTGAGCCCGTATAGTGTGATACAACTGTACCCACATTTCAGAGGAACCTTTAGGGTATCAGCGAAAATGTTGGTATATTTCTACAAAAGTACACGGTTTCACTTCTCAGTGGATCGTAATCGGAACATTAAGGGAGAGTGATATTAAAATTAGAAAAAGGGGAAAAACCCCTTTCACCTTCTTCTGATCAGTGCGAAACCTTCTTTGATGATATTAATATTACAGGAAAGGATAATTTTTTTTGTAAAACTTCAATGGAAATATTTTTATGTGTCTAATTTTGTGGCATACTGACTCCCAAATGCAGGACAATAATGCCATAATATATCTGGATCTTGGCCAATTTTAGAGCTAGGTACGCCATATTTCTATCAGAATTCTTCTAAAGGACAAATATTTAGTACCTAAGAAAGAATTTTATATATAACTTACACCGTCTACAGATTATATGCAATATTTTCTTCTACATTTCCCATCAAAATATATACATTTCTCGTACTGTGGGTCTCCTATGACCGAAACTGCAATTACCCGACAGGAGAATTTTTTTAAGTATTGAAATATATTGGGTAAAAATGTTATGCAGAATAGGTAAGTGGATTCTAAGGTATGTCACGGTTAATATAGGTGGGCGTAGAAAGAACGAAAAGTCAGAAGTATTCATCCAAAGAGATCTATTTTCTGTGATATAGCGCCGAGTAGTCCATCGAAAGTCGAATAATTTTTCGGAGGAATATGTTCCTCCGTTCTTCAGGGGAGAAGGATAAGCTAAGATCCGCTTTCTACCTGCTTCGTGAATTTTTGCTTGTATTATTCTTCGACCCTGAAGATGGAGGCGACATGCCCACTTTGGAGTATAGGGCTGATTTCTCAGTTTCATAATCATTTTACAGACGGCAGGACTCCTTGGACGGGTGATCAGCTCGTCGCAAGGCCTCTACCTAAACACAGGACAACACAGACACAGAATAAACGCATACACACACCAAACATCAGAACTGGAAGTAATTACGGTTGAGGGAGCATGGCAGCGATAAGCGGCAATGGAAGGCTTGCCGATAGACTTCCATACAGTATTTATAAACAGCAGCTCTGTTTAATACATAGTCCTCTTATATCAAGTTCAGTAGCTCAATACAAATGTTGCCGCATTCCCCGAAATCTTCAAGTTCACAACAATCCCATACAGTGAAATCGTGATTTCGAAGTGCTCCTCAAGGGTTATACTGTGAAATAAATACAAAGTGGTTTTTTGCTCAGCTTAGGGCACTGCTAATACCTTAGACTTCCTCTTTCACTTCTACTATTCCTGTTGCTCCCACTTGGATCATAAGGCATCCATAAAACACTTCGTTTCACTTCAGTTTCTTAATCTAAGAAAGTCGGTAGGACTCCTTGGATAAGGGATCGGCCCGTCGCAAGGCCGCTACCAAACACAACACAGAATAAACACAGACATGCATACCTTGAGTGGGATTCGAAACCACGATTCCAGTGTTCGAAAGGGAGAAGACATTTCATGCCTTCGACCGCGGGGTCACTGTGATCGGTATATGACATCGAATTGTAGAATGATTGAAAATATAATGAATTACAAAGGAAGTGGTCGTGGCCTAACCGATTTACAGCGGCTCACGGACTTACACGATTCATGTATTTTTAAAAATTTCCTGTAAGGTGGAATCCTGTTAGTTGGACACGGATTTCTGCAGGGGGAAAAAAGAACAGCGTAGTGTAAGGGAAAAGTCGTGGACAGATCGTATTAAACCGAAAAATTAGCCACGTTAGTCAAAAATTATCCGTACTTTTAAAACCGCGTTAAAGTAAATTCACGTTAGTACAACTCGTGTTAGTCAGGGACTGGGTACACCAACCTGAAATTCATCTGGACGAGCAGGCGAAATGTACAAAAATTTTCAGTTATGATAGCCGGTTTCACACCCGAGATTCAAACGAGTACTACCTGAATGCAAGTCCAGAGTGATACTTCTACACCAACCTGCTGGGTGAAATAAATACTGTATCAATAGGCGTACTGCTTCAAGAACAACGAATTCCCCGTCAATAATCAAATTTCATTTATGAGAGTATCAAGAGCCAGGATAGCTCAACTGGCATAGCGAATGGCAACAGCTAGATGGTATGTGTTCAATTCCCGGCAGGGATAAGTTTCCTCTCTTCTTCTTACCGTCTAGACCGGCTCTGGGGCCCACCCATTCTCCTAACCAATGGGTACCGAGGGTGATTTCCCTGTGGATAAAGCGGCCGGA